GCGAAGGTATAATATTAGTTGCCGGTTGGTTAACCACAAGAAAATAGGTATGATAATAATACAGTCGAGATGTATCCGCACCACGTACATTCGACGTGTTCTCTATATGTCCGGTGACTGCCAGTTGCCACAATAAGGGTTTAACTAACTTCAATCATCGGTATAAAACATTTCACTTTTAATCTCGAATGCTAGTTATCTTGAATAGATAGATAAACCATTATGTTCTATACGTAAACACGTTTTCAATTCAAATAGAAATAAAAATAATGGAAAAAAAATGCCACTCATTCGAAACACATGTGGTGTTTTTAAACTAGTATTTATATGTTCTCTTTGAATGCGTTTTATTTTCCTCCCGGTCAGCCAGGTCGCATAAATTCATTTTTGACGTGCACACACGAAATATGCATGACAACTATATTAAATAATAATAGTAATAACTAACAGTCAAGAATATTGTTTTCAATCCTTTTGTGCGTTTCGGTTACCCGGAAATACGCTGTAATATGCTTCAATATTACATAATGTCTGGAAAAAATCGAAAACATGAATTTTTGTAAAAGAATAAAATATGGCCATGTACTCTACGATTGGTTTCGTATACTAGCGTTTATGTATATATTTTTATGATCAACTGTCATTATAAAATATAAGGGTATTTACTGATAAACAATTATTAATGAATATTCAATTGTAATGTTTTGACGTTTTGAGAAATATGACGTTTCAATATTGAGAATTCTGCTGTGGATATCTATCAGTATTTAATAACCGAAATTATTAAATTAATATATTTTATATAATTTATAATATGATATTATGATATATATTATATGTATATACAATATACATAGATGATGTTTTAATAGTAGGTATCTGAAATCGTTAAGGTTTCTCGGAATACTATTTTAATATCTATTGCTTGTGTAAAAGCAAATTTGTTGAATAATTGAATTTCATCGGAGAACTGTTATTGTATTATATTTTTTTGAAGATTCATAGAACGACAGGAAAGTTTTGATACTTAATGAATATTTTTAGTACGAAAAATTTCAATGGGATCGTTGACTAAACTATAGAACTCAGATACACCCTTTGTTCAAAAACTGGACAAATTGTATTTGACTATTGCAATAATAAAACAATAGAATTGCAAAATATTTTTTGATTTTATATTTTATTTAAACTTAGAATATTGAACATGAAATGGCTTTATGCTTTTTTTTTTTTTTTTGTTATAAAATATTTTTATCATACAATTTATAAAACAGTTTACAATAATATGCTTAGTGATGTATTTTTTTTCTATTATATGGTCGTTGAAGATATCTGGAGTGAAGAGGTCACCCATTGGAGGCGCTTTGTAATATTTAATTAAAATTTAGATTTTCGACGAATTAACACAATATCATAAAATTATTAGTGTTCCATTTTCAGTTTCATTAACATAATATTATGTAATCTCTTCACGACACATTTTCATAAAACATTTTATATTACGCTCCGGTTCACAAACGCGTTTTATCGATACTCAATTACGGATTTTACATTTAAGACCAGCGATAATAAAGACCTACGATTTTCTGAACACGGTGGTTGGTATTGTAGTGTATAAAAAAAAGCACATTTTCGGTTAGCGGTCAGAAACCCCATAGAGAGCGTGACACAAACAAAGGTCGATTGTAAACGCATAGTACGCCACGAGAGAAACACCTGATACAAATTACACGACCTACCCAAAGTTGTTTTTTGTTGAGATTTGAAAATACTTTTTTGAAATGTTTGAAAAAGCAGTTAAAACACAGATTGTTTGTCGTATCGATGCATTGAATTAATTCATGTTAGTCGTAATATTTAATTTTCACGAAAAAAAATGTTTCTCATAAATCATTATTATCGATCATTGAAATTTTTAAAATATTCATTCATTTTATTAACAATAATGTAGGTATTATATAAATATATAATATTATAATAATATGATAATATATACCATGTATCCCTTTATGTGTTGTCCCGTATTACATTTTACAATATATCAAATTTACATTCAATAGAATCTATTTTCTGTTGTTAGCTATAATATTAGAATGGATTTTTTTATTATTAAAGTTAAATGTATGAATTATTTGATTATTATTTATGCTTAAGAGTTAGCTTTTTCTGATATTTTAATTAGTAAGTTAGGTATGCGAAATTTTAACTTGTAATATTTACAACACAATTTTATTTAAAAATTAAATCAACAAAAAAAATCTAAAGCTTAATCACAGAATATATTCTTATCTTTAATTTTAATAGTAGAAAAAATCACTCCAATATTAAAATTAACAATACAAAATAGGTTATACTGAACGCAAATTTGCTATATTGTATGCTTCCAAGACGGAGATAACATATACGGGTACATCGTCCTCCTAAGGAATTCAAATGAAGTATATATCCAATACAGACAATAGCAATCTTACTCTATGACGAGATTTAATCGAACTATATAGTGAAGTGTTTCCCTGACTGTTACGTGACTACTCATATGCCATGAAAGTCGATATTTTTTATCAGAGAAGCTAAGAAAATTTGATTAAAGCAATACTTACAAATAAGTCGGAAAGCACACATTAAATGTAAAAGGGTCTATATTGTTGTGGACTTTCAATTTTACCGGAAGGTTATACGTACTTTTTACAGAGAAAAAAAAATTAAATTTCAAGAAAAACTAAAGAAATTAGGTACCACTGTACCAATGTATAATATAAATGGTGTTTTAGACCATTTTCTGTTCTTGTAGTATTCATACTATTTTTACTACACGTATAAAATTTAATTTTTTTTTAATTAGCATGAGACAAACCGTAAAACCGAGTTTATAGACACCGTAAAACTGATGAATATAAAATTTTTGTATATATATTATCGATTATAATAGGGTGCGCAGTAAATTATAACTTTCATAGTAATAAATTATAGTAATATTTCTCACATATATACGGTATAGAATATATTATCAAATGTATGCTTGATGATAAGACTTAAAAATATGTACCTATGATGGTTTATATGAATACAAATTATTGTGTGTTAAATAACAGGATATAAAAAATAATAATAATTACAAACTATATTTCATAGATTACCACAGCGAGGTTGTTTTGATGTAAATAATCTTACCTGTGAAACGATGCATAGTTGGGCCTAAATATTTTAGAACGGCAAGTATAAGTATGAAATAATAATAATTAGCTACAATCAATAATATTAATATCGTCACGATATTATTAAGTAGATGATGGCGACGCGTTAGTGCGTGACGTAATTGAACTCGTGTGTGTGTGTGTGTGTGTGTGTGTGTGTGTGTGTGTGTGTGTGTGTACGATGACTAAATGAATGCGCAGTACGAACGAATGGTGCGTGAATAGTAGAAACTTATAAGTTTTAAGTTAGATATAACTTATATAATAATGATAAATTATTACAGTAATAACAACAACAAACGAACGGACGATACGAAATCGTCTTGAATCGTAAACGGCAACGGAAACGGCAACGGTGACTTGTGGGAAAACAATTTAAAGAAAACAACAGCAATTATTGAAACCAATAGATCGGAAAACGCGAAGCCTTAGACGATGGTGAAAAACCATTGATACAGGCAACTACGATGACGATGGCGTTTATAATTTCTATCGCGTTTTTTTGGCATGAAAAATCGTCCACGCGTTTTTTTACCTACGCACGTACATTTTTTGTGCTTTTTTTATTTTTTTTTATTAGGAAAAATTGTTATTACTTAACGCGCACGTCCGGGGGGAGGAAGAAGAAAAAAATGATTTTTCTGGCGACGGACGTCAACCACCACTCACCAGCCCCGGCGCGTTTTGCGATCAAAATCTTACGACGGCAATAATAATGGTACATATTATTTTATGCACAATGCACATTTTACTATCGCGTCCGTAGCAATAGTAATAATAATGACGATAATAATAAAAATAATAATATGTAACAACGATTTATGCACGCGCAGAAAACGCGGGTGGCGGGTCAGTCAGTCGTGTTTTGATGTTTATTCCTACTCCAACACCACCGGCACCCCCACCTCCTGTCTACTCCTCGTCCACCTACTTTCCTCCGACGTTGCCAAATCGCATTACCATATGCGGCGCCACGGACGGCCGTCGTCGCGATTTTTACGACGTCCACAGCGACGCCGGCAACATTGCGCTGACCATATTATTATAAATATAATAATAATAATAATAATAATAGTAATAATAATAATAATAATAGTAGTAATAGTAATACTACTACGAGTCGTCGTCCACCGCGATTACACGACGCGGTACTACTACGGCGGTGACGGCCAGTCGGCGATGAGAGTTGTAGTTGTCGGGGCCGGCTCGACACGGCGTTTCTCGGTAATGCCGCCAGACCCGTCGTCATCGTCTCTAGCGCGTTCGCTCTCTTCCGCTCGCTCCGTCGGTACAAAATACATTTTTTTTTTTTTCACCGACAGCCGACCGTTTGCGAATCTCGGAGATTGAGAAAAATATTTCCGGTCGCGTTATGCCGGGCGGCACAAACAACGGCGATAATAATATCACGTGTCCGCGCGCATTAAACTTAATGGTATATATATACATGTACACTGAAACTGCGTGTAGGTAGTGGCAAAACATCATAATAATATACGTAACACGCGCGCCTGACCTCCGCAGCAGGATAAACTGACCGATCTCTAACGGGTACCGTGGAATAAAATAAAATATACGATTTCGATATTATCACGATAAATAGGGAAATTACGATATTACTTTGCATAATCATATCACCTATCCTATTTATATGCCCACGACGCGCTGTTACGATACAGTTTGTCGCGTATACGCACACGGTAAGTGAGCACTGCAATTGTACCTCCTCCTACTCGGCGGTATAAATCAAATTATGATTATTACCGTCTGTGTTATAACCTGTTAATAATGATATGATAAACTTACCTGAAGATAATATTGTCTTCGTAGTCGTTAATTCGTTTCCGGTTCTTTGGCTTTACGGTTTGGCGGCAAACGATAATGTTCTCTGTATTTCGGGCCGCTTCGGTCGAGTGTAAACAATATATAATACAATATATTACTTTACAACACCGCGATCCACAATCTCAAGTGTATAGGTAATGCTTTACTGTAAGTATATATTTTACCGACAATTTATTGTTGTTATTATATAATATAGTTTAGTGAATAGTTATTGAAATCGGCAATTAGATAGGTAATAAATAAATAAATAAACGAATAAATAAATAAATAAATAAAAAATCTTGACAACTCCGGAGAAATATCGAAAAAAAAAAAAGCAAAACGGTTTAAATTCGATAAAAAAAAAAAAAAATGAATGTCAAACGGGTTTTAAAAAAAGAAAAAAAAAATTCAAAATGAGACGATGACAAGACGTATCGTGGATTGGATAGACGAATGCGTAGGTAAGATGCTAGACGCGACGACGATACGATGTAAATGTACTCATCGCGAGAGCCGAGGAAAAAAAAACAACATAAAACACTACTGTTTAATAGGACTGAACAAACGAAACTGTTGCACTTGCTTGGCAGTCGGCCGTACTCGATGGATGGACGAAAAAAAAACCACCTGCTGCCGCCGCCGTCGTCGCTGTCGCCGGTGCTGCTGCCGCGGTGGTGGGGGTTGTTTGCCGCCGCCGGGTGGAACGAGCCGCGCGGCGCGGTGGGGTCGGCAAACAGGTGAGTGGCGGTGGTCGACAGGTCGGGCGAGGAGGTGCACACATAGATGTATCATCGTACACACACACACACACACAAACGTATATAATATAATATTGTATATAGGTAATATTATATTATGTTATGTTTACGTTTATGTGTACACATAATATGCGTACGTGTGTACGTGTCTGCGTCTGTGTGTGTGCGCTCGCGAATTGCACGCGCCCTCTACCGATCACATGCGTATTAATAAGTTCGGTTTAATAATAATAATAATAATATTGTCATTATAATCATAATATATTATTACTATTATGCACGATTTATAAATGTATATTATTATAACAATGTGCTGATACCTGAAATTATTACGAGTTTTCTCGCGCATATCCGAGCTAATTATTATGATGCCTGCAGAACGGCCGTACAGGAATTTCTGAGTGAGCGATTTTTTCATCCGATATAGCGGTAGGTAACGTGCCTCAGCAATCGCGTAAAGTACCTACCTATGTTCGAGATTGGTGTTACTTTTATTTAGATTTTTCAAATACCCTTAACCAGCTGTAAGCAATTAAATCCTACATACTTGCAAGTATAGAATTTCATATTATAATAGTATGTCGCATAATATAGTGCAGTCTATCTTGTGTGATGACGGGCGAGATTTTTTTTAACCGTATAACCGAGCAAAAATATTTATAAAAATCAATATGAAAATACATACATTTTTTTATGCTTTCGTATTAATTATCCTGTGTATAGTATGTATGACATTAAATGAATATATTTTAATAATTTCGAGATATACCCATAGAGTATGGCTGTATACATGCATACATTTCCTATTTTAAAAAATTTTTTACTTATTAATCGGTAGGTATTTAAAGTACTCGCAGTTTTTATGGACCATATATCAGTACTTGAATACTTGTCATTTTAGTCTAAAGATAAACATTAAACATGATTCAATAATGAAATAATTTTCACTGTATTTAAAACGTTGAAAAACATAATTATTAATTTCTATACAAACATTTAAAGTTCAACGAATAGTTTCATAAAAATTACAATATTTACAACCAGTAGTGGCTGCATATTATTAAAAATTATATTTATCGCTGAGGATATTTCTGTATACCCACCTTTCACTAGGTACTAAAGAACACAGTATCTTGATATTTGATGTTAAGTACTAAATACTAACTAATAAAACTAAACAAATAATAATAATTACTTTTTAAATACCTATTAAGAACAGCATAACCACTAATTTCGTATAATATGAGTTGTTGTGGCAACACATTATACATCATAAGAAAGCTATAAATTATAAAATATTAAAAACTTTACATTTTTTTAAAAATGTATTTAATTTTGATATATAAAATAAAGAACTATACATTTTTATACTTAAAAACTGCAAATATTTTAGGTTGTAGCTATTTTTTATATAACACTATAATATGATTTTTTAATTGTTAAGATTTTATGTAATATTAGGCTACCGTATCAATATTTTACAACAATAAAATTATAGCTATGTATTTATCTTATTTAGTTGATGTTAGAAATTAACAAATTAATGTTTTAATATTTCTAAAAATATTTAATTATTGACTAACATATTCAAACTAATAGATACTATATGTACATTGTACATACATTCATTAAATGGATACAATATTCTATACCTACCTAATAACTTAATGTTTCTGTGTTGTAAAATTAATAACAATGTATATAATTTGTTTGTCTTTATACATTTATAGACATTTTTATACTTACAAATATTTCATCAATCAGCAAACCCACATTTTATTATCAACCGAAAAAAATGTCTTAAACTCAACATATATTTTTTAGTTTATTAATTTATTATTAATATATTTCAATCATATCTTCAAAGAATAAAATAAATGAGATGACTCATGAAGTAAGATATTAATTACTAAATAAATTATTATTTTATTTTATTTATAGAAGTAAAAGTAACGAATATCATAATTTTGTTATATTGTTTTATTATGTTTTACACATTGTTATTTGTTATACCACTATAATTTAAAAAATATAAAGTATACATATTTCAACAAAAGTTCAAAATAGTAAATTAAATTTTTGAAGAAGGGTAAAGAAAATTAGTTACTCATACAAAATATCAAAATATCATTAATTTTATTGTAAAAATATTATTTATCTTTTATCAATACATGATATTTTTAAGTCAAAAAGAATAAATTACTACATGCATTTATTCTTACCCATAATAGAATATCAGCTGATTTTCTATTTATTTAGTTCATATTTATAAATTAATGATTTCACTACATAATGGTTATTTACATATAACTCGAGAAGATAAGTAATAAAACCTACGGTTGAGTGCTTTTAGTTTTTTAAAAAATAAAAATTTAGTCACACATGTTAAAAAATATGTAATACCTCAACGTGTAGTTGAACATTTGATATTTTACCATTATAAATTTAAATGGAATGATAATAATCATTGGATTCAAAATAATAATTCTAAATTGAGTTATATTTACTACATGTTTATATTTTAAATGTTAAAATATTCTGTTATTTATCTTAATGTATAATATTTATAAAATGTATAAATGTTTACATGTCTTTTATGTATTTAGGTAATAAAAAAAAGGTTGGTAAGTGAATACCGATTTGACCGATCTGTTATACATAAATTGTCGAGTGGATTGCTAATATGGGTCTGTTAAATTCGAGTATAATGATATATCATTGTGTAACTATTAAAAACAATTCTGAGCGGAAACGATCTGGCAGTGTCAGCCTATATCACTAAGTGTATTAAATTTCATGATATGATTTTTGATATAACTATTAAAGTAATTACGAAAGATACAATTTTCTTTTTTTTACAATTTTTTCCAAAAATATTGCATTTATTAAATTATTAGTATTTAATAATTACAATAATATTATGTATTTATATCATATTATATTAACTTATATAATTCAAAAATTTAAAAAAATATTTCTGTAATTATGTTAAAATAGTAAAAATGAGTTAATTTTTTAAAAGATAATATCAATATCTTAAAATAAATCAAAAATTTTATTACGTACAGTGAAATTTATGATTATATAATTTACGTTAAAAATCTTAAGTTCCTATAAACATAGTTTTTTTCGCAAAATAGTTAACATCGTTATTTATCGTTTAAATAAGTAATTTCGTCTTAATTTGAACCTAAAATGTCTGTAAAAAACAATTGCTTTAAATATTAGATTTTATGGTTTCAGCATGAACTAATTATGAGAAATTTTATATTAAAATTTCAAACCATAGATATAAAACAAAAAATTTCTGTAAATTTCTAACTACAAAATAATTTGTATATTTTTGAGATTTTGATGTATTTTGTCAAAGTTCTAACTTTAAATGCTTATAAAAGAATATTATGACTATGGATTATTTTTTTCAATTAAAAAATAACAATTTATGAGAAACTTTGTGTTAAATTTTCAAGCGTTTCTACAAAGCAAATTTTAATTGACATTTAAAGAAAAAACTAAAAAAAAAATGAAAATTTGGCATGCCTATTAATAACTTAAATAGATTCGAAATAATTTGAAAATTTTACTGTGTATATAAAATAATAATATAAAAAATTGTTGAAAGTATCAAATATCTATAATTATTTTTATTTAAATAACTGAGTTCAAAAAATAAAAATAAAATGATTTTGTCAAAAATTTAATTTTTCTTTAATTTTGTTTTTCTTAACAATAAAAAAGAAGTACTAAGTATTTTTATTTTAACTTCTGTCCTCTATAAAGTACAAACCAGATCAAATTTGCATTCAAAATCACTCTTAAAATATTATCGTGTACACATACACACAAAAAAAATACATAATTGTAAAACCAAAACATAGATCATTCAGAGTCTAAAAATTGTGCTTGTACACAATTATATCTGTTAACTTATACAGTTTCAGACGTTAGGAAATAATTGTATATTTTTTACAATTATTAACATACATTACATTAATATAATTAATTGTAGTTACACATCAGACTTTAGAAATAATCTACTCGTGATACATTCAAACATCGATTGATAACTCTTTCACATTTATTTTATAATAGTAATATTAATCATAATTAAATATTTAGCGAAATTGTCAAGTTTTCTAAAGTTAAGAGTATTCTTTAATCGGTTTTATCAGAAACTGGTGTTGATATAATATTTTAGTTTTTCGATAAATTTTATTCGTTTTTCTTAAGCAATGAGACTTTCTTACATTTGACTCAAATTATCAATTCGATAATAGTTTATACCAGAAATTACAAAAGTTATAGATTGAAGAATTTTTCTTTTTATGATATGCACACACAATTATTTAAACTCAAAGTTATAAAATTTTATTGTCAGTTCAGAATTTAAAAAAATAAACATACGCACTGTAAAACCAATAAACCAATACATTTCGAACGAATCAAGAATATAACTCACTTAAGAATTTAAAATATTGTTTATTGGTGTTAAACAATATGTAAAATTTTTATATAATACTAATGTAAAAATTGTAATACGATTTATCGTTTTTA